ATATATAATTTATTGGAACTAAGCTGGAAAAATAAATATGGTCAGTTAAATTGTAAAACATGAGATAAAGTTCTTTAATTAAAATGGTGCATTTTAGGTGGATTTWTTAGTCCATTTGTAGATTTCTGCCTTTATTTCCAATTATGTCAGTTTTGGTCCTCCATATTCGCTACGCACTGGACTCTTAACTTATACATGAGATCAATCAAGGTTCACAGAGCAAAAAGTAATAGAGAGTAACAGGAATTATCTTTATTTTAGTCTCAGCAGGATTTATAAACATACAGTTGTGTACAAAGAGGTATCTSCAGGAATCCGTGTCCCTCCATGGGTATCAAACATTATCAAACAGTAGGAAGTCATCACAGTGTAGCAAAAACAACAAAAAACAAAACAAAATAATGATTGTCAACTCATCTGACTCGGGTGCAGTAAAGATGAAGCCTGATGTTCACCTCAGACACAAATATGAGGTTAAACAGTTGCATACCTATGTTCAGTGTTAATACTGCCACCAGCTAACAGAGTCAACTGGAACTGAAAGCATTTCCAGTTTCACTCAGGTCCATAAAAATTCTTATTCTGGACATGTGTCAGCATTACAACAATTAGTCATTTTAGGAGGAGTTATAAAAAGAAACCAGTTAAATTGATATTGTTATAAAACTGTAATGATACAAAACTGTATAAAAAGAAGTCCCTCATTTGCTGTTTCCTAAAAAAATCAAACACAAATTTAAGATGTTGCAAAATCAACAGAATAAATTAAAAAAGCATCAATTCAAAATCCACACAAAATATGATTAGACTTTCATTCAGTAATAAAAAGGGTAAATATGTAACTGGACATAAAAAAATTTAAAAGTGACACTTWGTTTAATATATATGATAGGCATACAAGTAAATAGCTTCATGTTGAAAAAGGCAGTTCTGGTTATGCTGTTTTGCAGTGCAGTTAATGGTTTGTTAATGTTAGAATAATTATTGATAAGAAGTTGAGAAAGTTGAAAGTTCACTTCAGAACCATCTAATTATATAAAATAAGAAATAATGACGGAATGATAAGGAGTATGTACATTTAATTCTTGCAGACTTTATTTTTCTTTTCTGACTTTATTCATCAAAGAGCTGCTCAAATAATACTGTGAATTTCTGGACACGGGGACTTTGTCCAGAATTAAAATCCAGAACAAAAAGTGTCCACTGCTGATAATAATAAAAAAACATTTAGATTTTTCCACAGAAAATTCAGTGTAAAATCCACAAACAAATAAACATCCAGACATTTGGTCCAACTGTGACAAAACAAACAAACAAACAAACAAAAAACTTTATTCCAGTTTTTCATAGAGCTAAAGTCGACAGGTTGTTGTCTTGACTCGAGGAGCGCTTGAACCCCATGGATGAGCTGAAGTACATCTCTCTGTCGGTGCCGATGTCCTCGTCGTCGTCGTCATCGTCGTCCAGGTTGGTGAGCAGCGGAGCGGAGGAGCTCTTACGCCTGGATCAGAGATTTAACAAGCGTTTTATCAAAAGCACAAAGAACATGTGTGTCTGAACCWACAACACTTTCTTTCTAACGACTCCACGGCTCGTGGCGTTTACCGGATGTCGTTCCGCAGAGCTTTGAGCTGGCTCTGGAGCTGCTCGTTGGCCTCCAGCTGCTCGTCCAGGTCTCTCTGCAGCTTCTTCTTGTTGTGCTCCAGTCGGTCGATCTCCTCCTCAGCCTCGTCCACCTGCCTCTTTAAGGCTTTCAGACGAAGGTTCAACTACAGAAAAACAAAATATTCTTTCATATCCCTGACAGATTATTCAGGTTTTTATCTCTGAACTACATCCTGTTAGTCTCAGTTTTACAGAAACAAATAAAAAGCATTAAAACTCTGTAGAACCAGGGTTTGATTTGATCACGAGGAGAGAGGGTGACGAGCATACTTGGTCCTTCTGGTCTTGCATCACATGATGTTCTTCTTCAACTTGCATCATCATATCCTTCACTTTTCTCTCCAGCCTGCGGTTGGCCAGCTGCAGGTTGGCCCGCTCTCTAAAACCAGCACAACCATCATCATCACACAAAACATCTTTCTGTTTTTTATTTTTATTTTTACATGAACTATTCCACACAAAATATTCATGTCAGCCTAATGAAACTTTGGTCAAAGATCATTTTTCTCCTGTGACCTTCTCCACACCATCAAGCCCTTCGTCTCACCGTTCCTCGCCCTCCAGCCGCTCCTCCAGCTCCTGTATGCGAGTCTCCAGCTGGGATACCTGGCCCTCCTTATTGGACTTGTGGGAACCTTCGAGATAAGACACTCTGGACTTCAGATCTTTATTCTGGAGACGGGATAAACAGAGGAGCTGGTGAAAAGCTTCACTAAGCATTGGGCCATGATTATATTTTCAAACAGAGAGAAAACAATAATGCTGATGAAAAGTGGACACAATCAAATGAATGAGATGATAAATGAATGAAGATGTGTGATTTGAGCTGTGTATCTCTTCATCCAGGWGGGAGTGTACCTGTCTCTCCAGAGCCGTCTTGTCACACTCCAGGTCCTGTCTGCTCGCTCTCTCCTGCAGGAGTTCATTCCTCATCTGCTCCACCTGTCAAGCCGAGTCCAGACACCGTCATCGCTACAGTCCCACAACGTCTCACCACAGTTATCCCCAGACGGGCTCRGAGTCGCACCCACAGTAGAAACTGCCTCAGCAGACAGTGAGTCAAAGTGCTGAACAATGGAGGAGTTAATGTTGTGAACGTCCTGGTTAATTGGTGAGCTGGATTTTCTCACTCGACTGCATTCCACCACGTCTTTGGATGGCCATGCCAGCTCTCAGTGAAACAGGCCTTTATTACAGACATGAAGATGTGGGCTTTCATGCATCACAGGTACTCAGCTACTAGTTTAGGTTCAGCAAGACTGGTTTTAAACCGGATTAGATTTTAGTTTAAATTTGTTTAATTCCACAAACGTATGTTTGTACGGCAACCACACTGTTTGTTTGTGTGAAATGCTGGTTCAATGTTTACATTTATGCTTTCCTGTTTTGTCTTTTCCTGTAGGTTTTCAACTAATTAACTTGTGCGTACTTTATGCTATTGAAGCTGTTTATATATCAAAAAGTTCAGCTCATACGCGACATGGGTGCTATGACGTTTGGCTCTAGTACACTTTAATCCTTTTCTAAATATCATATGTATCTTTTCCCTAAAGGAATACACTGAAATCTCTATACTATTTAGCTTTTAGCTAAACCTTTTGATACTTTATCTAGCTTTTCTGCTGTTTTTAGGTTTACTGTWCTGCTACATTTAGGCTTTACCTACATTTTTTTATTTTTTATTTTAGCCTTTACTGTTTTGCTACATTTAAATTTTAGTTCATAGTTTTTTTATGCTAAAGTTCTGCAACTTTTAGTTTAGCTGGCATTTTGCTACATGCATTTTTTGTAAACTTTTGATACTTTTAGGTAGTCATTTACTAATTTTGGTTTATATCAAGTGTTTTYACACTTTCAGTTTTCAGGTAACTTCTTGTTTTTTTAATTTTATTTTTTGCTTTTTTTTGCATTTAGCATCTTTTAAAATTTACTGAAGAAGCTGAACCCAGTGGTTCAATAGTTATTTATAGAAAAAAGCCGATATGACAGAATATCTATTGATGATTGTACAGCACCTTGTGAATTTATTTCTATGAAATGCACTTTATAAAGAAAACTTTACTTATTTACTTTGAAAAAAATACTTTGAAAATTTATTATGAAAAGTGGTTTTTTTAGATATATCAAAACATAGTTTGGATTAAAAGTATATTAATTACATTTTATTATCCGAAAGCTCAAAGACGCCACCCCTATCCTTTCATTCAGTTTCATATTTGGATACAAAAAAATCTAATTTATTCAACATGAATCTGTTTAAATTGAGGGAATATTCTAATCATTAAGCAGATCTTTATGGTAAAATTTGAATTTACTGATTTAAAATCTATTTTTAGTAAATATTAATCAGAATAATTTTTTAACTGAATCCTGAATTAAATGACTTGTCTGTGCAGATCAACCCTCAGTGGAGTTTACTGCCTGCATTTAAGTTTAAAGTTGCTTGTGGGGGGTGACTTGACGTTTTAAATACCAAACTATTCCTTTAATTCTGGCGTCATCACTTATCAGCTTTGACTGGATCGTTCCAGATGGGCACGGCAGGGACTGTTTTAAAGGAGGCGGAATGAAATCTAATCGATGTGGCAGTGATGGTTGCTTCTTTGTGAGAGTAGCTGAGAATTGGTGATATTTTATGCCAATTAGCGGGTGACAGTGGGCTGCTTTGATGAACGATGGCCCCTCTAACTGGTGCAGCCAGCGCAGTGCTTGAGGGAGCTGAATCAGCAGACTGGAACATGCAGCGAAACTAATCTGCTTTGTGAGAGACGGCAGGAGAGGAGCGAGGAGATTACTCTCATTTAGACAGGAGAGGAGCACCTGGTGCCAAGAGAGACGCAGGTGTTCGTCCTGCTGCCTCCGCTGCAACCCCACCGCCCCACAGACATTAGAGAGCACACACCCACAAGGCCTGTGTGTGTGTGCGTGCATTCACAAAAACACACCACAAGCACTCAGTCTTCTCCACTTGGTGCTAAAAAGCTCGGATGTTGCCTTGACAACCGACCTCAGCCTCATGCCGAACCAATGCCACTTTGTCACAATGCTCCTTTTCTCTGTGCCAGGAGCTTTTTTTCCCCTCCCTCTTAGGAGAACCGTTTAAGATTTTAATACTCTGCCACACAAACGAGACACACTTTATTTAAAAATTTGGTCCCAACTTTTGAATCGGTTCGTCCCACGCTGGGAGGAGCCTGTARCAAAGCCAAAAATCTTTAGATTTGTTAGCAACTCTGACTCCTCTCTGCCTCTGAACAGAAAAATCTCTCCCAAACTGCAGTCCTAAAAGCACACACCATCTATAAAGCTCACTTCAAGGAGCCTCTGTCAGCAGCTTTATCACAGAAAACTGGAGCATTTCCTTGCAAGCGGACTGAACTTGTTCTGTTCTCAAGATAAAGTTACGAGCCGCGAACTCAACAACCTGAAAACTGAAGACATTTGGCAGCCTGTGTATTTTGGCCCATCAAGAAGGGTCTTTTTGTGACGCTCTCAGACCCTGCTCGGCAAGTCACCAAACCAGAGTGATTACGCAAAATCATCTCATGAAGCAATAAACCTGCTCGCTTTATTCAAAAACTAGAGAGTGGAAGTGAATTGTGGAGTGTGGATAGAAGCACAGCTGAGAGTGAGCACAAGAATCACATGAACGGAGTCTACAGAGAACATTTAAAGGGATCCACGATTAGTTGTAACATTAGACTTCATTTGATGAACATATATTATAACTGTAAAATAAAGACTGTAAAATACTGTAGGCTGTTTAGTTTTTATAATTTTTAAAAATATATTTTAACACAGACAGAGCCCTTTTATTTACACACAAAGCATTCTGGGTAAATGATGACGTGGATAGGTCCTCAGTGTGAGCG